GATACGATTTGGGTTATGTGTTTGAGAACTTTAAGTTTGATTTTGAGGTTGAGTGTTATTCTGATTAGTTTTGGCATAATAAGAACTCGAGCTATAATTTTTGTTATTATAATACCTTGAGTTGTTCTTTTGATTTTTATTTCCTTTATTATTCTTGGGCCCATTAAATTTCTGTAAATATTGATCTTCAGGGTTCGAATCATTAGGAGCACCAAGCACCATATTGGCTTGTTTTAATTTTGATATTTACAGAATCACTTTCTAATTCGAACTCATAAAATAAATTTCTGCGTTGTGTTTCTAGACGTTCTATAAACTTACTACCAATGAATGAATGAGAAGTCGTCTCCTCCAGTTGCTTGCATTTCTAGCCAGTTTGAAGCACCGGGTTGCTTAACTGCTTCAAGTGCTTTATCGACCATTAATCTCCTGATTGCTCTTTACATCGCTTGCCTAGACTCTTGTGTAGGATAGAGGCCTAGCAACTGTTCTCCTTGGCTGGTGAATCCGGATAGTTCCCTAGGTGTACCGCCATAATAGTGTTGGTCTATTATTTGTGCCAAACATTGGTTAAGGTGGAGTTTAGAAAGTTGTGGAACTGTCTTCTAGTTTGGTAAGTTGAATTTTAATGTGCCGAATTTAAAATTCTTAGTTAACTTTGTTTCCGACCGCACGGGATTTTAATTAATTGCAGATTTCTAATCTGACCACTGAGGATTTCAGTTTTTAATTCTATTGCACGTAAATTCTTTAGCTGATCACTTTTGGAGTCATTATATTAGTTGGCTGATCAGGATTGCTAGTTGTATAGATCCTACCGGCTGCGCCAATTAAATGCTTGTACCACTCGTAGGCTTAAACAATTTTTTATTTATTTTTTTACGAAAGTAATTACAAGTTTTGAAGAACACCGACTGAATTGTTTCGTGACTGAAACTGAACTTACTTATTGAACTACATTGGTTGACGTTCAAGCCTCGGTCTTGAGCTTTCTTAGATATTGACTGAGTTTTAAAAGATCTGGGAGAATAAGAGAGAGATTAAGAGAGCTTTGAAGTAATTGAACTGTTGTTGCGTGGATTTACAGTTATATGTAAAATTATGTTGTACAATTGCTAGGTTTCATGATTATGATGTCTAAGTCTAAAGGAGTTATGAGATAGATAGATAGATATGTCACTATATGCAAATAAATCATCAATAAATGTACCACTTTCAAAAACCAGTAAAAATCCGTCAGTTTGTAGTATGTCTTTGTGGTTATCGATTGTAGAAAGTACCTAGGGCCCCAATAATCTTTTTTAAATTGTAACCCCATTTAAACCAAAAGTTTGTAATTTATTTTAATTATACCTTTTCAGGGCATTTTAATTTAAGTCCGAATTTTGCAGTGAAGGTCATCTCCTACCATATAAAGTATACATATTCTTTGAGATTTTGTCATTTTATAATATAGAATTTAAATTTATATTTTATTAAAATCGAACGACTATATCGTAAAGCTGCCATACATTTATATACATATATATACATATGTTCGTCCGATCCGGCCGGTATCGACTTATATACGAGTGAGAGTTTATAGAAGACTAACTATGAAGTTTCATAGCTTCAAAATTGAGAAACAAGTTTGTGTAGAACAGGTCAGACGGAGGGACGGACAGATGGACAAACAGACGGACAGACGGACATACCAAATAATTTATAGGTTCGGATATATCTCTTTCATTTCGTTGCAGGTTTCAGATTAAAAATTTTATTAAACTACAAAAAAATCATAAAATATAATATATAACAAAATAAAATAAAAATAAGTTGTAGGCTTATGCATCCTTTTATGTGATATTAATTACTGCCTTTTTTGACGTATGAAACTCTTAAGCCATGTATTTTAAAAGTAGAAATTTGTATGTTTCCGTTTCAGGTTAGGCTAAAGTGATGAGGCTATCTGGTAGCCTCCAATTAGAACTGAGCTCCGTTTTGCTCATTTCAAATTAAACGGTTTCTTTTTTTCATCCTGGAAACTCCTGTATCAAGTCTTTCAACTCATTGCAGTCAGTCAACCGCATTAAAATTTCTGTTAAAAGCTTAAAAGGCGTGATCCTCGTACTTCTTGGCTCAATGCTATTTATAATCTGCTGAACTCTTCCGTGCTTATACCATGCAAAAGAACTTTCATAACTTTGCTAGCATTGGTATGACGGTCTTGTGAATCCTTTCGAGTGGGCCATTAACGCGCTGTTAACCTGTCGCTATGAGAAAATGTTGTATATTATTCGAAAAGCAATACTCCTTGATTGCTGGAGATGTAAAACCAACGCCTCTGTCGATCACTAAGCGACAAGGATTTCCAAAATGTAGAGCTTTTCCAGACCGCTTAAGACTTTTTCGACACCTGTTTTATACTTCCAAAAGCCATATAATACGAAAAGAATGTGATTGTAGCGCTTGGTCGTCGTCTCCATCGTTGTGTCATCGATTTGGTATGTTATGAAGGCTCGGTCACCTTTGTCAATTGAAGTTAGAAACCCTTCCTTTTTACCTACCTACCTTTTTCTTTCGGCTTGGGAATGAAAAATGACTTTTCGATGAGCTCATGTGTCTTCGTGGCTAAAAAATGTCTGCATTTTAAATTATTAAATTTTCCGTAGTCGACAACAACAACTAGTTCGCGAATTGGGTCTTTGAAAAGAAAGTAATTTTCCCACGTAGAAGTCTTAGTATGCATTAATTTCTACAAGATTTCTTACTGCTTGTGTCATTAATCGTTAGTTTGGGATTCCTTCTTACGATGGGTTATAGAGTCTGATAAAAAGAAACACGAGACTCGACTCAGAGCATCCGTATTTTTCATTTTCGTACCGGATCGATGATCAATATTGTAGTTGAAGTCCTGCAAGTATAAAACTACGCGGACAGGAACTTCCTTCTTGCTCATTGTTTTCTTGAACGCGTTACATTCCGTAACAATTGTGAAATTTATGCCGCTTGATTAGAGATAAAATGATAGCTAACGCCTCCAGCTCGTACGCAAATGGTGAAGTCTTGCGGCTCATGTATTAAACTGGATGAAGAGAACTGTCTTCGTATCTGTATGGATCTCGGTTTGTAAAATTGTATAGCTTGGGACTGATGAGAGCAGTCTTCAACTTTTTGAACGCCAATCGTTGCTTCTCCTCGAATTCATACTTAGAATAACCTCTCAGCAAATATGACAAAGGCCTGGCAATGAAAGCGTATCCATCAATGAATTTTCTAAAGTAGGACTGCAGACCTAGGAATCGCTGAATACCTTTTTTATCGCATGGTTTTCGAAAAATCTTCTACAGCTTATGTTTTTCGGGACCTAGAGTGATGGTTCCCCTTTGGATGATGTAGTTGGCACTTACTCCAGTTAATACGCAAATCGTTATAGGCAGCAACTGAGCCATCGGAAAATTGTCTGGAATAATCCTTTCGTTTAGCTTATAATGGTCGCAAACACAGACATTTCTTTCTGTTTATCTTGGATACAAAAACTACTAACGACGTATATTCACAAGTAATCGGTTTTATAACATCCTCATCAAGACAATAAAACTCTTGACTTCGACCTTCTGAAATTGATTTTAATTGAATAAGTCGACCTGATCTGAAACTGTCACCTGTTCTGCGCGCATGCCTCTAAACTTCTGCAGAAACCCATATCCGCGCTGCTTGGCTCCTCATCAATACTTTTGAATTCGTTCCGATGCAGAAACTCATCGCCTTTTTAGTAAATTTCATGTTTAATGTTTAATGTTTCATGTTCTGCTCAAAATAGCGTCGAAGTCCATGTCTTTCCCCGGTACTACGTGGAATTCTACATTCATTTGTACATATGTTGTCTATTCCGACCGGCAGGATTATGCTGCAAAGCAACAACACCAGACTTTCGCCTATTCCTGTCAAGCATTTCTCCTTTCTAGTAAGAAGTTTGCTGTCCAGTTTTAGAAAGATATTGCTGAGCATTAAACATAAATCTAGACCTGTTTCGACAAATCCTTTAAATTGGACGACGGAATGCTTTAGCTTAGCAATTTCCATTATTTCTTTCGAGTTTTTCCTTTCTTTTGCACCCGTTGACCTAGCTTGCGATGCACCTCAGCAGACGATACATTGATAGCAAATTACCTACGCTGCCTTAAGAGAACACCAGTTGCTGCATTTTGGGAATTTATTTTTATTTTATACAAATTTTTAAGAGTTTCTTAGGTTTCTGTCATTCAACTTTCATATATGCATAGATTGGATTTTCGTCACCTCGCTTCAGTTCTTCCAGACTCCGCCTCACGATCCTGACTTGCTCCGATCGCCTCTGCCTAACGCTGCTCCAAACGCCTTCCACTGATCAGCCTTTGCAAATATTAGTTGACCATTTCCGGCCGGATCTCAGATTGCCGCTCTGACGATCTTTGACCCCCTGCCTCCTGGACTGCATCTGGTACTTCCACAAAATGCTGTTCTTTACCTTCGTCTTCTTAGAAAACTGCAAATGTACTCGTGAATTTCCTTCAAATTTAATTTTTCGCAGAATTCGCAATTCTTTTTTGTGTGAATATGTACTTCGCCACTCCCTGATTGTCTTGCATTTAATGTTTGGGTTAATCCCGGTTGAGCCCCCAAATTGCAAGATTAATTTACTATCGCATACAATTATTTATTTTAGGAATTGGTTTAAGTATAAGTGCTTATATTACAAAATATTCAATATTTCGAATCCAGGTCATAAAAAAAGTGAGTGTTTTTTTATTTTTTGAACAGAGGGTGCAAATCATTGACCAATGCCTATGGTTGATTACTATATATAAACTAAAGGTACTGCATAAAAAAAGTTGTGTATAAAACAATAATAATTGATTTTATTAAAGTTAATAATATGTATAAAGATGTCAAACCAAGATTCCTTTAAATTTATTAAGTTTCACTAAGTTGAATTATATTATACTCAATATTTTTTATTTTTGATATTTATTTCACAGGTTAATCGGATCTAATGAAATACCAGAAGCAAAGAAAATGAAAATAGAAAAAAACAATGAAGCTGAAGAAGAAGAAAAAAATACACAAATAAAAAACCAAAATGATCTATTTTTCAAATTTCGCGATGATCTTAAAAGTCAAATGAAGAAATCAGACATCAGCAGACTCTTGATTTGGAATAATCAACAGCCTTTAATCGGTGATTCTGAAAGATTATTTGATCAAGCTGCAGACTTACTGGCGTTTGGTGCAATTCAATCTTGCTTAGAATGCAAATGTACTCAATTTACATTCAATAAATCAGGTTATATATGTAATGGTAATATTTCTGAATGGACTAAGTGCCATACGCTGTTAAGAGAACCTGTTAAATCAGCTTGCAAAATACCAAAGGATCTTATAGAAACATATACTTTTTTAAATTCTGTTCAGAAAAACCCAGTAGCAAGGATATTACAATATTTTCCTCCAAGTGAAAACACTATAAATAAAAATTTAAAGCTAAAAAACAATTGCGGTGAAAGTGACGGGTTAGTATTGAACAAAAAATTAATATTTACGTAAATCAAAATAATATTTAATATAGCTAGATTTAAAACGATATATTAAACAAATTTCGGGGAGAGGAAGATTGTACATTCTTGCAGTTTGTAGTTTGACCCTGCCATTCCTATAAGTTCAATAGTTTTTTTAAACATTTATTATGTGACTCAGATTTTTATAAAATAAAACCTCTGAGTAAAAACAGAAATTAAAAAAAAAACCTATTACAAAGGGATTTTATGACTTATAATATGATTACGCATGAAACTGTTGTAGATAGTATTCTTTTTACAGGAGAAAGCTTGTAATTCTTCTATAAATACTCGCAAAATTGAAATCAGATTTGATTATCCGATCCTAAAAAGCTATATACCAATCAAAATATAATGCATTCTTGAACATTGACAAATTTTTGGTTTGCGTTTATAATACAATTTAATTGTTTGTGTCTGGTACCCGAAGTGTACAAAAGTTTTATAGCTTAATGCCAATCAAGAATGTATGTAAGAGGCAGAAGAAGGCATCTACGACCCCTTAAAGTATATTCTTGATCAGCATCACCAGCCGATTTATCCATATATTGTCCGTCCGTGTGAAAAAAACACCGAGTTTCCAAAAGCTTGTCCGCTCTTCACTCCTCGGTGTTCGCGATCGCTTGCACCAGACTTCCCAAGCTTCGTTTTCTTGACACAACAGCAGTTGTGTGATCGTTAAAATTTTCCATTCGTGTCCGTTTTAGTTGCACCGCCAGATTTCTCGCCGTTTTGTTACGGCCAGTCGTCGTTTGGGTAGCTCAGGGACGGCCAGGATCCGTTTCAGGAATTTATATTGGCTCAGGCGTGATTGCTGTAAAAGATTCCGACCCGATTGCCAAGAGTGAGTTTATGCCTCAAAGAGTATCTTAATCTGTTTATTCAATCGTAAATGTGTACATGGAGTGGCTCGAGTGTTATGGCTGTCGAGTTCGGCTTGCGGATGATGCTTGTCGTCGCTCGTCGGGATCCGCACTGGTGCCGTGTAAGTTATCTTCCGAAGATAGTCGTCTATCGGCTTCGGAACTCAAGACACGGAGACGTTCCTGTTATCCAGTTGTTGTACTCGAAAGTTAGACCGCAAGAGTTGTTGGCGAACCTGAAAGTCAGTTCAAGAGACGTGTTGGCTTCTCTGCCAGAGAGAAGTTGTTGTTGTTCGACCCTAAAGTCAGCCAGAGAGAAAGTTAACTTTTAGAGAAGTTATCGTTGGACTCTAAATTCACTCAAAGTCAACTCGAGAGAAGCTTTTGTTACGGACCTTGAAGTCAGCCAAAGAGAGTTGTTGTTATGAGACCCTGAAGTCAGCCTGAGAGAAACTTGTTATGAGACCCTAAAGTCAGCCAGAGTGAAGTTGTTGTTGTTGGACCCGGAAGTCAACCCTAAAGTAAGCTAGAGGGAGTTATTGTTACTTGGAAACTACCGGACTAACTACGAAGTATAACGTGGACTTGATCCAAGAATCTTGTCCAACCAAAAGTGACTGCTGCGAACAACGAGCTGTGGTTACTACCTCACCTTTCCGAGTGTGCCAGTGCCGGTACCTGGCCTAGTGTGCCCGTGCGTGATCTTGGGCTCGCGCGCGCTTTTAAATTTAAATTTCCCTCTCGCTTCCGTGCTTTAGCTATATATTCATCCTTAGTTCCTTATATTACACTCCCTATATACAGTTACAACTATTTATTTTATTTATCTCCTTATCTATAATGTGCGCGGTACGCAACTGCCAGCGAAGCCTAATGTGCAGCCACATACACACACACACGCATGCTTAACTTGTGCACATACTTCAGTGCCGAAAAAACTCACCGTGAACACTTAAGGGGGTAGACCACCCTGACATTTTTTTTAAATCTAATTTTTTTTACTTAATCTTGATGCCGATATTCCTACGGTCATTTTAAGACATCGGGCTTAAAAATATCTTATTACTTGTGGATTCTACAGCCATTAGAAGTGAGCGCTGCCGGTATACCTTAGAGTACTTTCTTTATCTTCTTTTGCGTTTTTCTCAAAACAACGTTTTTTAAAACGGTGTACATGATTTCTCAAAAACCGCCGGACCCATTCTCTTCAAATTTTTTTACACAGCTTCTCTATAACGCCCTCTATGGCATCACGTAGGATTTTTTCGATATGATTTTTTGTTTTTAAGTTATAAATTTTTAAAACAAAAATTTCGTCAAAAAAATTTTTTGTTCCAATAATGGCTACGTCGTGCTATAGCCATACCTTTATAGTTTATAAAAAAAATTTTGTTTTTGAATTTCGGATAACAAATGTGATTTGCAGCATGTACACCACTCCCTAAAAAAAAATTAGTTTTTTGGCTGGCTATATCTCCGAGGTTCGTAAATATTTTTTTTTTCTTTCGATAAGTATTTTTTAGTTTAACATATGTACTTTGATGTACTAATAAATAAAAAGGTGTATTCCTAATAACTTGGTCAAAATGAAATTTTGAAAAACCCTCCAATTTTCATGCGTTCAGGGTGGTCTTCCTCCTTAAATTGTGTTGTAGGAGAAAGGCCATTATTAATAATTTTCCAATTGTTTTCAACTCAGCCCCTGCAGTAGCCGTGTTGTTGTTATTGCTGTTTGGTGCTTTTGGGTCCCTCAAACACGCGCTGCTTTGCCGTCAGCATTTTTAATTTCACCTTTTCTGCTTTGAAATAATTAATCACCTGCGGCTGAATATTTTTTTAATTAAGCATTAGTTCAACATCCGCCAATAAATCCTGAATCTGAATTTAAACCCACAGGGGTGCGACCGTGATTGTTTTTCCCAATTTATCAACTTGGCCACTGCTGCGGCCGTGTGTTGTTGCACTTCTTTGCCGACGGCATAACCCACTGAGCTTGTTCTCTCGACCAAGAGCCAAGGTTTTATTTCCGGCTTTGCAAAATATAAGTTTGACAAGAATTAATTACTTGCGGCTAATAATTTTGTAAATTAGTAATTAATTTATTTTTTATTCAGGGATGAATCGTGATCCATGTTCTGAACTAAACCTTCCCTACTTTAAGTATTAAGACAAATCAAACTCTTCTTCAGACTGTACTCTTATGTTAACAGTTCAAATTGGTTCTTCCGCCATAATTAATTTCGTTTTTATTTTTTGGGGGCTCAAATTATTTCGGAATTTTGTTTTTATTTATTTTCACTGCCCGGGTGAATCACACATTCACATTCCTGGCACTTTAGTATCTGCAAATTTTTTTTCCCTACATCTGCCAAGTCTATCGTAATCAGGTTCGGGCCTTATTGTAAGAGGTGGAAAAGAGCTTCGAGAACTGCTCCGAACTTATCACCGTGTCCGCTGATAGTAGGGCTACCTCGACAGTGATTGAATCTTAGTACAATAATTGCAATTCCGTGTATTCAAGATGTGTTCCCCAAGGCGAAGAAAAAGAAAAAGCGGCCTGTAGGAATAACTCTTCCCAGGCCTGATGTTACCACTGCGCCTTCTACGTCTTCCAATCCCGACCCAAAAAACTAACCTACTCCTTAGGTTTTTCCTATCAGAATGCAAGAGGCTTACGTAGTAAGCTTCCTAACTTGTATTCTGATAGCCTTTCGCATCTCAGCATAGCATCTCAGGTTATTGTGCTCACAGAAAACTGGTTAAAGCCGGAGATTCTGAGCTCCGAAGTTTTTCCAGCTGTGTTCACGGTATATCGGCTAGATCGCCCTATCAGACGCGGGGGTGGAGTTCTTATAGCGGTGGACTCCTCACTCTCGTCATAATTATTAACCTTCGAGGAATGCAACGATGTTGAATTCCTCTGTGTGAAAGGTAGCTCCATTTTTATTACCTGTTCCTACATACCTCCACTGTCGGAAGTTCCTATTTATTGGAATCACCTTTCCGCTATTCAGATGGTTTCCAGTAGACTTTTGGATACAGACCAGTTGGTAGTTCTTGGAGATTTTAATATCCCTGGTCCTATTTGGTGTTCAAATAATTTCACCAATACTCTCAATACACCTACACAACATGACTTTTTCGCTGGCTTGTTTGACATTTCGCTGTCTCAAGTCAACCATGTGCGAAATTCCTTACAGCGCTTGCTTGATCTTTGCTTCGTCTCTTATCCTGCGAGAGTCAGTTTAGCAAGGGTGGCGCCTCTGACGCAGAACTTCCTATTTATTGGAATCACCTTTCCGCTATTCAGATGGTTTCCAGTAGACTTTTGGATACAGACCAGTTGGTAGTTCTTGGAGATTTTAATATCCCTGGTCCTATTTGGTGCTCAAATAATTCCACCAATACTCTCAATACACCTACACAACATGACTTTATCGCTGGCTTGTTTGACATTTCGCTGTCTCAAGTCAACCATGTGCGAAATTCCTTACAGCGCTTGCTTGATCTTTGCTTCGTCTCTTATCCTGCGAGAGTCAGTTTAGCAAGGGTGGCGCCTCTGACGCAGCCCGAGGATCCTTATCATCCAACTTTCGATGTGACTCTTGATTTTGGGTGTGACGTACAGAATATTTCTGACCGTCCATCCAATAAAGTCCTATGTTTTCGCAAAACGGACTTTGAACGGCTGAATAATTTTATAAACGAGTTCAATTGGTCCGATCTATACATGTGCACTGACATGGCAGTTGCCGTGGATATTTTTTACAGTGCCATGAATTCATTTTTTACGGAATGTGTTCCGTTATATTATCCGCCAAGCTCGAATAAACCGCCGTGGTTTACTAAAGAGTTGAGCCGACTTAAAAATAAAAAATCTAGACTGTATGCTAAATTTAAAATCACCTGTTCTCAATCTGCCCTTTCATTTTATTTATCAGCTCGGTCAAACTTTACCGTGCTGAACGCGCAGTGTTATAAAAACTATTTAAATCGTTGTAGGGCCCAGTTCTCACAGGACCCAAAACAGTTTTATAATTTCGTTAACACTAAACGTAAGCCTAAAACAAATCCTTCCTCGCTATAATCCTC